TAGATAGACCACCTTTGTAGAGTGTCCTGGTATTGAGGTACTGAGAATTTGTAATATACTAGAATGTTGTAAACAAAAGGAGGTGTGTAAATCTGTTTATCTGATTGCTTTCAGCAAGAGTCCCAGTGGAGTTAGTACACAGTAGCTAGTAAGATAGAGCCATTGTGAATGCAGCCTCCTAGCTGTCTCTGTTTATTGTATGCATGGTGTCATAAATTATAATCATCATTATGATAAAAGGCCATGAAATTGCAATAATGTTGACAGCTACATCAGGTGGTGTATAGTTGTAAATTAAGTCAAAACACCATAATCTTCTCTGAAACTGCAATGATTGGTTTGCTTTCAAAACAATTATAAACACACGAGTTGAACTATGAAATGTTATGTTGTTGTCCTTGGTTCAGCTGAGAGCAAAAGTAGACAGGTTAACGAGGATGCTTGTCAATCAAAAACCAATTATTGATCATAGAAACATGCTAATTTTTTATTCATGTATTGTCTCGCCACCTGTAGATCAGTGCACATATTTTATACAGGCTTTTAGAGTTTATTTGGACTTTATCATATCTGCAACAAATGAACTCATTGCACTTGGACTCAGACACAATGTTATTGTAAAGCTAAATTCTACCTAGTTAGCAATAATTACATTTTGGTATTGTCATATTATTCTTCCAAGTTAAACAATATCTTTTTCGTGCATTGTGTTGATTTTTTTTATCACTGATAGACATTCCCCAGTTTTGTCATGACAATGTTTCTCTTATCACTGTCTGTTAAAAATTAGGAATCATTTGCTATATATATGACCAAATGTGATTATCTGAAGAAATGTGTCACAAGGCCTACAGCTCAGCATGATCAGGTGCACATGGCATATTGATCCATCCAGTACTTTTTATTCTTGAATGTGTCAACAGATTGCACACACATAGTAGAGTTGTCTATGTGATGGCAGTGTGTGATGCATGGTTCTTGTTGTAAATGAATTCTTCAATGTCTCACTGCTGCACTTTCTGCCAATGAAACACCTAGCTGTCATTGTGCTGAGCATACACGTATAATGGTTGATTTGTGTCATCCAAGATGGTGTTATGACAGGCCCTTAGCCAGGGGGGGGTTCGGGTGGTTCGAAAGAACCACCCTTTTTGCTGGGAAAAGGTCCACTCTGGGTAATATTTGACCTATGTACTTGAGGATTTTATGGTAAAAGGTCCACTTTTTCAGAAAACGCACCCCCCCTCTGAAATTGCTGGCTACAGGCCTGTATGATATATTAATGCCTATAAAAGATAAAATACAAACTGTGATCAGATCAGTAGGTTGCCTGTAGGAAGTCAAGTATGACTTAGGGACTTCACTGTGAATTTTGTCGACCAAGCTACATAGTGCACACTAACTCTGCGGGGACTCTTGCTGAATGCAGTCAGGTTTACAGACTAACATACTTCCTATTTTTTCCAAGATACAAAGATGCTTGTATTTACTAAGTTTTCTATATTCTGTTCTATGAGGTGTGTTAGTCTGTTAATCTTTAAGACAGAAATAGTTTAAACAGATGTTAATTAGTGACAAATATTATTCAATATGTGTTGACCACTGAGGGCATGTTTGAATGAATATTGCCCAAGGCTTGTTCATTGATTTGCATCCCTAACTTTCTTTTTTTTAACCATTTTTTGACTTGCATGACTTGATTGACTTTGCTGAGAGTTAAATGCAAAACAGATGTGATTCAGAAGTGTGATACCACAATACTTGTGTCAGACAGTAGAATGACACATGCATCATAATTATGAGTGCTCATGCAATTGCTCTCAATTCTGCTCAAAAGAGCAACTGCTCCTAGTTTCTAGTGAAGTTTGTTATATATATATAATTTCTTACTAATTTTTGTCAGTTTTCCTTAGGACTCACTTAATTTTTTTGTAAATGGTTATCTGAAAGACAGGACAAACAAACAAACAAACAAACCCAAGGAGAAAGTAGCCAGGTTTTTTATTTTGATTTTTTTCTATTAAAATTTTTAACCCCTTCTCCCCTCTCTCTCTCCCTCTCTCTCTCTCTCTCTCTCTCTCTCTCTCTCTCATTTATGACTTAAGCAAGAGACTGAACATGTGTGAATTCACCCCCACACCTGACACCGCCCTTAAATTGTATATCATGATAATAGGTTTGAATGATTGATTTAATGACCGCAGACATAGGAAATTGGCAGTAATAAAATTCCATGAAAACTAGGTTGTGTTGTCGTTGTCTGACTTTCCAATCACATCTACATATTCCAGGTACACCTGCTATGGTTGTTGAACTCCAGGTATGCCCAGTAAGTGTGAACTCCAGATCCGAAATGGCATATGGCACTTGTACATCTAGATCAAAGAAAAGGTTGCAACTTTTGAAAAGAAAAATCCTACCAACTTCATTTTTGAACTTAGATTGTATTTCACAGAAGATTTTAAGAAAAAGAATACAGAAAAATTCTGTTTTCTGGGTGCTTTGGCAACATTTTTAAAGGCATATAGACTAATAATATTAATGCAAAAAGTAGTTTTTCTTAGCTCTTGGTGCAGTACTCCATGCAGACACACACCTAGACTGTTGTTGGGCCTTGTCTTTCTTTTACCACAAAATCTGAAGTTTAGTGCCCCTTTCTTTCTCAGTTGAATTGATAGAAGAATTGCATGTGACTTGGTGATATGGGTTGAAGGCAATAAACTGAAAGCAGACAGTAAAGATGCAGGGTGAGGACTTTAATTCATCCTTTCAGCTAAAATAGATTAAAAAGAAAAAAAACTGGAGCTAACTGCCAGGAAGAGTTTAAGTACAGTATGCGTGGCTGAAGACAGACTGATTGCTACAGAATCATCATTAAGTTCATCATTTTCTAAATGCTTTGGGGAACATCAGTATATAGTGTGTTTATGGTCAGTGTTTTCTTGGAAAATGAGCTTTTTCATAGCTAGCATACAAAAAATCTTTCCTCATTTGTTCCGAGTAAATGTTTGCTACATTGAGTTCTTTGGTATGAATTTTTCAAGAAGTAAATACATGTACCAAGAAAATGTTTGCTGTCCCCAGACTTTGGCTTTCTCGAATTGGTTAAATGGCCTATGCTTATACCAACTAATTGCTGCAAGTGTATGATACAAGTGCTTTTCCCAGGGATTAATTTGTTTGATCACTTTGCAAGGCACATTAACACCACTGGATTATAGATTTTTAGACATGATAGAAGTTAAGTGTGTAATGTTTTCTTGTCATTGTGAGTGGGGAAAAAATCTGAGAAAACGGTGATAATTTTACCCCTATAATGTGTGTGTGTGTGTGTGTGTGTGTGTGTGTGTGAGAAAGAGAGAGAGAGATTTGTAAAACATTGCAATTTTTATAGAAAAATAAAGACAACAAATAATATTTCAATTTTTCATATTTTATTTGTACTTGAACAATATCACACAACATGTAGAGTTACAGTGTAATAAAAAAAGTGTCCCTCTCCCCCCTGTAACTTAATTTTATGCGTATGTAACCAGCTGTATAAGTAAGTCTTTGCAACAGAAGAGCTAAATCTAACAATATCTCGATGTCAGTAATGATGGACAAGAGGATGGATAAATTGAATAACTAATAAAATGATTTTATGTAATTGTAAGGTTGTTTATAAGAAAAAAGATACTGTGCACAGTAATTTATCTCGGGTGATGGGCTATTAAGAGACCAAATCCCACGCCCACTGAAATTTGTACGTATATACACCTATGCGTTGAAACACAAAATAGGTATCGAAGAGAAACCCTCTGTAGTACTGGGAAATTGTTTGATAATTGTGGTAAAGCTGGTAGTTTTTAGGCTGGTCTGAAGAGCAAATATTGTTAAAAATACTGATTTCATTGTCTGTGTAGACTATTATTATCCCTAAGTTAAGCTCTTGCAGCCAGATGGGAAATTAACCATAAGGGAGTAAGAAAACGAGGTATAGTTTTATCAATAAGTGAACTATTTGATAGATGTTCATGTTGGGAATAGGACGAGAGAGGTCCTTTAATGTACATGGATACCTGAAATAAACAAAACCCAGATTGAAGATGTAAATCATGTGGGACCTTGATTCATTTAATTTTGATATCAAGGGCAACAAGTGCAGCTTATTTTTCAGGCTTGCTTGTCATGATCATGTATATACTGAAAATTTGATTAGGTGTAATCATTCTTTTGGTCTTCTGCAGAAGGCAAAGTACACTACCTATTTTTTGCTTGATATATCATGAATCTTGTACTGTGGTGATTTATGAGAAATCTCTTGGGAGTTTTATAAAACTGAGATTACAGTGGAATAAATGGATAAACCAACAACGATAACTCAGTTTTCTGTGTTCTGGATTTCTATCATCTGCCTGGAAACAGGATGCTGTTTTCCATTTTCTGTTTAAGATGATTTATTTCAAATGAGGAAAAAATAGAGTAAAATGTCTAGCATACTTGAACAATCACCTGTCCACAGGCTGGTGTACAATGTATAGGGAAAATATTGTGTTTTGTTGCTAAAAATGTAATGGAAAAAATAGATATGATGAAGGGCCCATTTATGTTTAGATATCAGACCAGCTAGGCCAGTCCAACTCTGCAGGGAATCCTCTCTAAGTGCAATCAATGGGATCAGCTTAATTGTCTGACACGCCTCCTTGAGCAGCAAGAGGGTAATTTATCTGGCACACACAGAAGTTAATCACACACCTAGCTTCTCAAGGAGGCGTGTCAGATAATTAAGCTAAATCCACTGATTGCACTTCAGAGAGAATCCCATGCAGAGTTGGACCAATGTACCCAGCTGGTACAAAAATGTCCGAATCTGAATATAGTCTAAGATCATAATGTTTGCTATTGTGGTGCAGTTTATCACGAAATACTTTATTTTTTATCAATTGAAACAATTTTATTTTTACTTTCTCTCCTAGGTTTGCTTGTCATTGACATGGTCTCTAAATGTTTTTTTTCAGAAATCACAGCTACTCACACAATTGCATCGTAGCCTAAATCACCATCTGCAACTTCAACATCTGACATTCTGATGATGTTCTGTACTAATGTATACAACATGGGACATCATCAGAAGTTGCTCAGTGTGCAATATGTTTTGGAGTAAAATTCAAACAGCTGGCATGATTGACTGTACACTAGGGATTATCAGATGTAGCAGAGGGGAGCTCTCTAAAGTTGCCCTGAGGTGCAGAAAACGCCCAGAGGGTTAAAGGTTCTATTAATCTTCACCCTGTACCAGTTATGAAAATCAATAACTAAATAACAACATGGAAATACATAGATAATATCTGTAATTGTTTAGGCATGGACAAAATCAATGTGTACAAGAAATACAATGTGAGGTGAAAAATAAAAAGTGTAAATATAGCTGTCTAAAAGAGGTGAAAAAGTTGTACAATACCATGGTTGAAAACAGTTGTGCCATTGAAAAAGTGTTATGACATTGAAAAAAAATCAGTATAAACACACCACAGATTGCAGTACTAACAAATGTTGAAAAAAGTGTATCACAATATTGACGTATAGAGTAGCAAGATGTTCTTCTATATACTTACTTTGGTTTTCCATATTATTCCGAGTCAGGTATTCTCTGAGGCCCTAATTGCCTCATGTAAATAGACCTTTTAATTTACAGGCCATGTACCCCTGTTCACAGATAGAGAAATGTAATTTCCAGGTGATTTCGCCATAATGGCAGATGCTCCACCTAACTGATTTATCTAGGGGCCTCAATTTGTGTTATAGCCAAGAGAATAATACCGTTAAGTTTCTTCTGCAATAACCTCATGCAAAGTGACAATTAAAACCTCATTGGCAGTTCGAGAGAGTTAATTCTTGCTTATAGTTATCTAGAAAATACTGTCTAAATATACAGCTGAAATAGCATAAAGACAGTATTTAGAATATTGAAGTAGGATTGAAACACTGATATGATAAGATTTATGAATAAAGAATCTGTAAATTCTTAAGGGGAAAGTCTGGTGCAATTATTAAGGAAGCTGTTTGTCTTATACTGTGCTTCATCTGATTTGCAATTTATATTGACATGTACTTGCAAACCTATTACATATAACCCTAATTTAATCTTCTTATCCAATTTTTGTACAAATATATTAAATGATTATTGTAGATGATTAAATGAGTCTAACTACATTGTACTTAATCTCATCATTGATGCCATGAATATTTCACTAGCATTTGGAAAAGGCATCTGGTTGAATGGTACAAATGATGCTCTTTGCAGCACCAAGTAATTGCACTAGGTTCACGAGTTGTCAATTTTCCATGGATGTCATGTTTCAAAGTAGGGAATCTCAAATTTACTTAGATAAATTTCATTGATTGGACCTTTTTCTATCTAAACTTGCAATAAATGTGTCATCTATTATACTGCATTGAGTAAGAGTTGACATATTGAATGCTAAGTGCTAAATAACACGTACATTTGAACATCTAAACATTTGTGATTTATATCAGTTAGCCTACGGTTGGTACCCTTAATTTCCCTTAACATTCATTTTTTTATGGGGGGTGAAGTGGGATGGATAAAAAGTGCACTACTAAAATTTTCCATGGAATTTGTGTATCAGTTTCCAATCAGTGATAAACATTCAACCTAATTGAATTTAATTTCTGAACATAACAGGGATTAACTTCTCTACCCTTTTCACCCTGAGTGTCACACTGACTGGTATCAGTGTATCAAAATTAAATGAAGGGTGTCCCCCTTATATATATATATATATATATATATATATATATATATATCAGTATGCGGGCAAGTTTTTGATCTAGGCCCTGAGAGCGTTGCCAAGCTCCATTTTTCTCAACAGAGCACCCTGATTAATGAACTAAGACAGGCATGCAAGCAAAAGTCACCATGTTACAGTTTTGGTATTGTTTAAGTAACACAAACTTTGATTGAGTAGTTTTTAAGGTTGAAAAATCATCAATTGAAAGTTCAAAGCAAGAAATTCTTGATTAGTGTTTGTTTCTGTTAGTTTACAGCAGAAAAATGGCTTCATAAATGATATGAATGGAAATGCAAAATCTATCTTTTCATCTACATATTATTTTTATACAGTCTTCAAGAAAAAATCTGAAATTTGCCCACTGCAATTTTCCATATATTTTTATATTTTTCCTAATGTTATCAGTCTCCTAGAATAAAAATCTAGAGATCAGTAATTTCCCAAAGCAAAAAAAAAAAAAAAAAAAAAAAAAAAAGGCACACATTATAAGGATTAATGAAAATAGAAATAGTAAATAAAATATCATATGACAGTAATGGAATCTGCATTTCGGTTAAAATCTACAGAGTCAGTTGGAGCCATTGGACTTCTTGGGGTCAAGGCACCTTCTGGACATGGTGGCTTGGTTGTAGCCAAGCTGTTTTTACTTGCTATCTCTGCTTGAGCATTTTCTTGCAGTGGCATCTTTTCTTTTTCAATCTTGGGCGGTGAAGGGGATATGTTTCTTGTCATCAGAAGACGGCTGTCAAGATTCAGCCTTTCGTCTGCAGCATTTGTCTTGAAACGTTCTCTGTACAGAGTCCGTAGACATAATTCACGTATTTGTTGGTTCATAGCACCATAAATGAGTGGTGTGATGCAAGTCCCAATGTGATGGAGAAGTGAGATGAGGATGTATACATCTCCACTGACAGTGTTGTGTCTGTCACCAAGTTTTACAAGGCCATAGATCATGTATCCAATAATAAACACCAGAAATATCACGCCAAACATTTTGGTAATTTGAATTTCTCGTTGTGAAGTAGCATGGGCGCTTCTCACTCTTCGTGCAACTCTGCGCACATGAATAAAAATCAGTCCAAAGCAAACAACGACAATAGCGCATGGTATGGCAATCATGTTCAAGATCACAATGACAGTCAGAGAAGTGTACTTTGGGGATACCACACAGCGGATGAGCTTAGGGATGAACTTCGAAGATGGACTGAGAATTAATGGTATAAGGCAGCACGCAGGAATAATGCGGGCAAGAATCAGCACCATTACAATATACATTTTCTGGTTCATCCCATTGTAGACCGTCGTCTTCACTACCACTAAGTAACGATGTATGGCGATGAAGGCGGAATGCCAGAGAGAGCATCCGGTGAAAAGTATGGCGAGTAGCGGCAGAATGGTGCACCAATGGTATTCAGCCAACCACTGCACTGTGAAGTAAGTCTGGATTACAGTTGGTTCACAGATCCCTATGTTCATTACATCATTTACACACAAACTCACGATGAAAACATTGATAGCATTCAAAAGTTTCCTGTTATAACACAATACTGCCATTATCCAAAGGTTTCCTGCCAGTCCGCCAATTGTGAATACCACCATTATAATGGCAGCCGTGATTGCTATGCCCTGTGTAGGAAGCAGATGAGTCTTACTGTTGCTTGTTGTATTCAAAGTAGCGTTTAATGTCCCATTGTATGTATTTACAAATTCAGTCCAGTATGTCTCTGAGAAGTTGCCCTGTGAAACCAAATCCTCCACGGTAGAAGCCATTGTTGTTCTTCAACACGATGGTTTCCAATCAGTCTTGTGCTACTTCTGGAAATAGAAAAAGAGCAGTTAAGTCATAGGCTCACTACTCATCAATCAAAAATGATTGTTATATTGATCATTGTCTTTTTAACTGTAAATGTTGTACATGTTACCTAAAATCTGGCTGTTAGGAAGATAATCCTTCAGTTGAAGTGCTTCTGGTCAACTTTTCATCAGATTATTTCACCATAAAAGTGGCAAAATAAGGAAACTGCTTACTGAGATGACAAGAGAAGCAGTTGCAGGTCTTCATTTGTCAAGCATGATGGCTTTCTTAATTAAATCATTCACAGCGCACAAAGTGCAGCCCTTTTAATGTCAAAGTGGAAATGAATGATTCGCCTCACATACTGAAAGACTTTTCCATGTGATTTGATATAGATAACTATATACCCTGTTGTGTGGCCTCTGCCTGCTTGACTCCTCATTGATGTTTAGTTCAAACAAAAACCAATCTGAGGGGAATTTAAATTGCTAAAAACCACCAGACTAGAGCCTCTTGATAATATGTTTTGTTTAGATATCTTTTTAATAAAATAATATAATTAATACTTGATTCTATGATTAACATTCAAAAGGACTTGATTTTATGAAAGATTTACTAATAACAAACTTGTCAGTGTTTGATTAAAGCAAGCATTCACATACTGACCAAATAAAGCTACATAATTAAATATATTTCTTAGTTTATGACAGACAAGAAGCAATCAAATGCCTTTAATAATTATATGATGTTCTTCGTAAGTTAGACAAATTCTGTTGACATTATGAATTCTGTTCACCAAGACATCTTTGTTTTAAATTTTATGGAATTTCAATATAGATTACATTCACAGCCTTAAACTTAGACTTGTTACCAAGCATATTTACATAACAACAGTGACCATTGAACTGTAATGAATTAGATTATTTTCTTTTGTTTTCATTTTCCTTAGATATCTTATTCACAGAAACAAACAATTAATATACAAATTTACCATGCCTGTTGCCATTTTGCTAATTAGGCTATACAGTTGATAATCTGAAGATATAATTTATAACTTTCTTAATTAAATCTCATTTTTTTCTGATTGATACAGTTGATAATCTGAAGATTTGAAACTTTCTTAAACTACAAGCATTTCTAAACTCTGGTTCTGATGATGGCCACTGTGAACATTGCAGAGTGTAAAAAGAAAAAAAGCTTGCCTTATAATTCTTACACTGCACTGAGCTCGGTGTTGCTTCTGTTCACTGCGTGCTAAAGACTGTAGTTGTTACTCCTCTTAAGACAGACACACATTCTGTTTTGTGTTTAAACGGGCACCTGTTAGCAGACTATTGATTCCTGCATTACGGAAGATCACTTAATTATTTTTCCTCGCCTACTGGAGGTTATACTCCCACTTGGCTTTTAAACTGGCCCTTCGTGTTATTAACAGAAGAACTGAGAGAACATGTAAAGATGACTGCAGTGTTTTAAAATCTGCTGAATTATTGGAATAAAATTGCTTGGCGTCATACGTATGAGTCGTTTTTTCCCACTGATATGCACCAATGTGTATGATGGTATTTTGTTAAATGATGCATATTGTGGTTTTCTTCATGTATATGTATGGCAGTGTGTGCAGATGGCGTTATGTTGTCATATTTATAAAATATACCTGTATATATAAATTATTAGTTTATGAGGATAGTCTGCCTTCTGGTTCAGGTTATGCCCAGCATGTTTATTATGTACAAGCTGACACTTAGTGTCTGTACATATAGCCATTACCCAGGTCTACTGTCTGTGTGCACTTTCAGAGAGAACACAAAAAGTGGAAAACTGCTTTACCTTTTGTTTTCTAACTTAACTGATTCATATTCATTACATGCAGGTCTAATTCAGCTTGATCCAACCATTGTTCTGGAAGTTATGCAATTTTTTCACTTTCTTTATAAATGCAATACAGATAATACATTGAATGTGAAAAATTGATGACCTGCTGTCTTCAAACTTGTAGGAGTGCCCAGTTATTATTAAAATTCAAGTTGATTTGAAAACCAGTCTGATCAATGCATTTTTTCTTGAAGTTGTGCTATTTTTGTATTTTTCAGCATATATTACACTATGTGCAATACAGGTAACACATTTCATGGAAGATTGTTTTACCTATTGTCTTCATACTTACTGATGGATATTACTTAGATACAGGTACGGTTTTGTAAACCTTTCCTTTACTTGTCTGTGTTAGAAACAGATGTTTTGAATGTTGTAGGTGACCATTTGCTATCTTTCCCTATGCTTCCTTCTGTCTAAAATATAATTTTAGTACAGTGTACTTTCATGAATGACCTATGCAAAATGCCTCTTTATGTTGCATACTTTATATAGGGGCATTATTTCAGTAGAAATAATTAAATGTTGTCATCGAACAGAGTTGAGCAGAGATTTTCATCATTAAGGGGTTTTGTATATATCCATTCTTTAATAATCCGAATATGCATGTTCCTTCCTACTTAATTGCTTGCTTCAAAGCTGTATGATATGTAATTACTTATTGCTTTGAATAGAACAGATATAGGATTTGCTCTGAGTGTTATGGTTATATGCTATGTCAGATCCTCTGAAATAGGGGTTTGTTCAATTATCAGTGACTGTGACTCCTATCTCCTTTGCATTATAATAAACATTGGCATTAGAGTCAAATATTTATCCTAACCAAACTATTGCTCACTGTCAATCATTGGCAGATCTCAACCAATCAGCATACAATATTTTCACACACTCCACTTCTTACCACAAACTAGTGATACACGGGTGGAGCTAGGATTAGTTAAAGGGGGAGTCTGCAGATACAAAGCCCCCCCCCTCCCCCCTCCCTTTGGTACGTGTGGGGTGCAGAGCTCCTAAATTTTTTGGTATTTTTGAGGATGAACAGCGCCATTTGGTACAGTTTAGAACTATGACACAGCAAGTGAAAATTCTAATATTTGTGTTTTTTTTTTCAGAAATCAAAAGGGGGGTCAGGACCCCCTAACAACCCCCTAAATCCACCTCCAGTTATATTTTATTTTGGTTTGATAGATGTATTCTGTAAGTCATATACAGCGTAAGACTAGTGTGTCTGTACACTTAGTGCAGACAGAGACCTAGCTGTCTGTTTTTTAAAGATATGCTTGTGTCTACTAAATTTACTTTAGTGCACATGTATGGCTCAAGCCATTAATTTGGGCATTATATTCCTGCTACCAAATCTGAGACTTGTGATAGCAAATGGTAATTATCATTTATGAGACCTGATTTCAAAATTCAACCTATCTATAGCTGTTTCCAAGTGGAACCCCTACCGCATATCAGGCACCTTATTATGTTTCTCATTATTTTATATGTGATCTGCCTTGTTTTACCTTTTATTAGCATGACAGGTCCAAGGTCTGGTGATGTAAAGATTTCTTCAATACGTCAATAAGTTTACCAGCCACTGATTCTGTTTACTGGTACAGACAGTATATATATATAGAGAGACTTTTATGATTGATCTGTACATGTAAACAGGTGTAAATAAAATGGATAAAACTAGGGATTCTGCATTTCTGATATTGGATTTATCTTATATTGAAAATATTTGATTAATACTGTTTAAAATTGAAATGTTATACAATTATATACAAGAGAGGGCAAAAGTGGCTTTTTTTTGTATTTTATTAATGTAGTTGAATGTATGGAGTTCTTTAATTATTTTCCTTTCATGATCTGTATATATTCACTATCTATTTGTCTGAAGTGCCTATTTAGAATAATGTACAGTTGTATAAATTAAATACTGTGCAATGTCAGAGGAAGGCATTTCTGTGTAGCAGGGATTAATAATTGTTCTTGGTGGAAGAAAGCACATGTAAAGAATTTAATATATTATTAAATTATTATTATTATTGTTATTATTTTTGCTTTCAAACCCTTCATAGAATAAAAAAATTCTGCCATTGTCACAGGTGTTGCAATGAAGTGGAGACGTGTTGAGTTTAATGTGCTTGGTGGCATGATGACAATTGTCTTCATGCATGTTTATAAGTTGTTGCACTTGATTTAATGTTTCACTTTATTATACCTGCAGGCTTAAATTACTAGTGGAGTTTGGTATGAAAACAACCAGTTTCCACAGTAAACCAGTGTACACAGTATCGGAATGATATGACGCAGACTGCTGTGAAACTTTTTATCTTGATGCATAATATTTCCAGTCTGCTACGTACGTTAATTAGCCACTGGTCACATACCATTGGCCAGTAAAATCTCACGCGGACCAGTATTTTTTCAGAATGTGTGAATTTAGTGGTGGGACATGTCCAGTAGATTTTTTCATTACAAAAACTGACATTTTTCTATGTTTTTCCATAAATATTTTGAGTGTGTCTACAATACAATACAATACAATACAATACAATACAATACAATACAATACAATACAGGGCTAAATCAAGGTCTTGACATTACTAGTATTAATTTGTAATTTGGGTTTTCTTTGGACCATGATTCTTATTTAGACCAGTGAATTGTAGGAAACTGGTGGTCCACTTTTTAATGTAAGTTCAAGCCACTTGATTTATATTGGAACCATTTTACAGCGTACTTTGTATACAATCGATGGGTATACAAAATATAAAGACTAAAAAAGTTAAACAAGACAAACATCTCCTGGCAGCATGCCAGAGACATTCTTCACATTAATGATGAGACACATTAAGAACATCGTTGCCTTGTCTGATGTGCCATTACAGACTTTAGCACACATTTTCTGCTGATTTAACAGGAGGATAGAATGAACCAGCACATGGATAAATTCTGTCAGTTTTTATTCACACTTGCTTGTCTGCCATCATTTCTGACCTCAATTTCCTCCAAATCCCATTTCATTCTACACTTTGCATGACTTTGGGCTGTATTGGATGATACCCAATTCAGTACCATCTGTCTTTGTTTAATCTTATTGTTTTAG